GCCCCAACTGAGGGATTTCATCATTCATCTGTACAAGGCTTCTGAGAGCATCTGCCAAGATGCTAATCTGATTGTATGCTTCCACTGATATTGGTTATGGGGCTCTTTTACAGTTGGTTGTCCAGATGCGTAAACTGATATTACAACCACAAGGCTCTGATGTTACAGCCTGATACTCATTAAAAGATGCAATTTATCACCTTCCTGCCCATTACATACAACAATATGATCTGTTGAAAGACATTCAACATGGTATGTGGCTTCTTTAATTCTTTTTTTTTTTCCCCCTGAAAACTGCATAACAAATAAACAGGTCAGCTTGGTCTACACTTTCTAACAAATGTAAAAAAAAAAAAAAAGTGAAGCCCCTAACTCCTTCAAGTTCACAATTTTATTTTTCGCCTGTAGGAAGTGTTTAATTCAATGTTTTTAATCAAAAGAAAACATACTCTCCTCTCTCTTCTCCCCCAGTCCCAAATATCTGTTGTTATCTCCAGTGCTTCTTCCAGCAATGTATCTGTATCTGAATGTTCTCAGTGGAGGGGGCACCTGTGAATTCACGCTAGGGACTAGTAGTCTCTATATGAAAAATTGTGGCTATAGCAATGACCTGCTATTCTGGGTTAGTGTGCTGGATTTGTGTGGTGACATTTTTTGGTATCAGGGGAGTGGGTACAGCGGTGCCCCCCTGTGAGAAGTTTCTTGAAAGCTCTCCTGGCTCCAAGTCAGACCCACCTCTGGCCAAGACCTGGCAAATTAGTGATGGTGGCTGCACCTCTGTGATAATTTAAGAAGGGGAACCTGGGAGGGGGTTGAGACTTTGAGGATGAGTTACAAGAAGGACACCTGTGTGAACATCGAGGTCAGTGAGAGGGAAGAGGAGGGAGGGGGTAGGTGTGCCGGAGCACGAAGCCCCCCTGTATCATGTGGTGAGATGGCAGGGCCACCTCCCTGACACCCATGGAGGTCACCAGAGGAGCAGAGATTTGCCTGTGGCCTCTGGAGGATCCCTAGGACTCTGAGGGGAGAAGAAACTTCTGCTGTGTGACCCATGCCAGAGCATCTCAAGAGGAATGCATCCTGGGGGGGGGACTCATGATGGAGGACTGTCTCCCGTGGGAGGGATGCCATGTGGAGCAGAGGGAAGACTGCAGCGGAGTGCTTCCCCCACCTTGAAGAAAGAAGCGGCAGGACAGACTGCACCCCCATCTCCTGCCCCTGCACTGCTGGGGAAGGACGTGGAGATACCAGGAGAAAAACTGAGCCTGGGAAGAAGGGAGGGGTGGGGGAAGGTGTTTTAAGATATGGTAAGTCTTCTCATCGTCTGTGCCATTTTCATTAGTGTTTTGAATTAAAGTAACCATCAAAACACAAGGGAGACCATGTAAATCCTCTGGAGCAAGGAGTTTGCTTTGTTTCACATCACTCCAGTGCAGGACTGTTGCTTGCAGCTGCTTTTGCAGAGCATACAATGCCAAATGGAGAAAAATCTGCATTTTAGAAGTAGTTCTGTGAAAATTTTGAGCAAAGGGTTGAATTTATCTTTCATAAAGATTATGAAGTAGACCTCCAACTCGACTCACCTATTGTAAAATGTGGGAATAGACAGTGTATTTAGATTATTGCAGAGTTGAAAGCACATGCTGCTAACCGAGATGTAAAGAAGGAATAAACAATGACTTAATGCCATTTCTGTTTCACAGAGAGCCATAAATATGGGGAGAAAGTTGCTGAGTAAGGCACTAATGCAGCAAGTGGTAGAAATGAATCAAGAGGTAGTGCCACTTTTATAAGGAGAAAAGGAATCAGGAATAGACTGACCAAGCAGAGATGGGGCTAAGATCAATTGATCAAGGGAACAGCCTTCTTGGATTAAGTGGCCATTCCCAGTGCAGCCAACTGCTATTAGTGAACCTATATAACAGGAGTAATCTTTTATATGGAGAGGATGAACAGCGTGAACAGTCTTATGTAGTTTGTGATTTCACAAAGCTGAGATGAACTAGATAACAAACAGAGATGCCGGTAGGCAGGTGCTTTGGAGATACCTGAAAGTGAGAGGAAGCAAGCAGAAAGCACTGCAGCCCAAGTTAACAGCACAACCAGTATGCAAAAATGAAGTGGGAAGCAAAGGTGACTTCAAAAACTCTATGTGGACCTCCTCTTTTCTGGATCTGACTGCTGGGGCTAGGTGAAAGTCTCTGCAAAAGATTTTGAGCTCTCATAAAACTTCTCATCTGAATTGGGATGAAAAGTAAACACCAGAAAATGCTGAAGGTACTAACCAGCTTCACTGCGTAGACCAGGCAAAACACTGGGTTTTAAATTGCGATTCATTTCAATCTTTGTCTTTTTGGTTTTGCAAAGCAAGTCGAGAAAATGACTTGCAATTTTTTCCAGATAGAAACGGTCAAAATGGAGTATGCTAGACATTTTCAAAACTGACTTTAAAAAGCATTTTAAATTGAGAGGTTTGGTGTTTAAAAAAAACCAAAACAAAACAAAACAACAGAACTCTTGTAGGGTGTGATATAATTTTGGACTTTCCATTTTCTGACCATAGTCCAGGAATACTTCACTGCTGAATTTCCCAGCTATCGCTGCTGACTGTTGTATTGGCAACAAATGGTGCCAACAGCCCTGGCTCAACAGCACGCAGGACTCTCAGTCAACACCCGCCTGACCTGGCTGTGCCCTCTGAAGTCTGTGCCAGCTGAGTATCTCTTTCTGCCAGAGATATTTTTGGTGGGCAGTACTGCTACAGCAGTATGAAAAGGGCTTTGTCAGAAGGGAGCACCAGGCCATGTGAGCCTGGTTCTCCTTGTCAAACACCTGGATAGGTATTTCCACCAAAAAATGCAGGTGTAAAATAATACATGCTCAAATGACTGCAGTTTGCACTTGTCTCAAGGTAAATGGCAACTAAACCAGTTTCTTCATTTCCTTTTCTTTTTGTCCCAGAGAGATAAAGGCACAAATACTATTTTATTCTGTTTTGATCCCTGGTACCTGTACTAAATAAATTGGAATATTTCATTTGCTTCACTGGTAGTATTTTCCTCTCCCCTTTCCCAGGTTTGAGTGACCTTACATGGTGCATGGAGGGCAGTGAAGGATCATGCCCTGTGTGACACAGCCGGTCAGATTCTCCTTGCCTTTCCACTCGCCAGTGAAGGTGTATCAATGCCAGCCGGAGCTGGCTGCATCAGTGATATGCAATCTCACAGCCAAGTGAGCCAAGTACAAATAACCCATTTGTGTCGCTCTTGAGAGGTTTCTGAGGATTATTCTCTGTATTCTGAAAAGACGAAGTGAAACATAATGACCTGGGAAATTGTGTGGTGGGGGGAAGCAGGTCCCTGACAGGTGGAGGTGGCTGCAGCCAGGCCCTGGGGGCTTTGGAGAAATCTGTCAAAGGCAGTTTCCTTTCCTAAATCCTGCCAAGGAGAAAGACCTTCTGAGCAGTGACATTCCACCAGAGTTTGGCTGCCACCGGCTTTCATTTTGCTGTGTATTTTCCACCTATTTTAAAACTGAAACATCACATCCAACAGAAATTTAACCTGTTTGAAATGCAAACCTGAAAATGGGAAGGGGAGGCCTGCCATGGTGGAGTGAGTGAGGCTTGCTTGCTTTTCCCCAGTGGTACCTTCTGGACTTGAGAAGAAGGCAAGAATTAATGGGACCAGGGAAACAGGAGAGCGATAATGTATAAAATCTTCAGGTTCCCCAGCAGCATTTGGGGTGTATGCTGAGTCACTCCCAACCTAGCAAGGATCAGGGCCTTCAGTAGGGAGGTCATGTGGGGAACACACGAACCCTGATCACACCACCAGGCTCTGTAGCATCATTTGCACAGTTGGAGAGCTCTGTGTCTTCCCAGGGAACCCCATGGATTTGCACCTGTAAGGTTTTGCACCTATCCCCACGTCTCAGAAGGGTGGATTTTGTTGTGAGGGACTCGCAAGAGCACAAATACAAGCTGGTACTAATAGAATCAGGGGACTTTGAGATAAAAGGCTACCTCAAGACAGGATCATCAACGTAACTGCATGTACATCATTCCTGACAGGCACTCTTGCCTGTAGTTAAAAATCACAGCTTATGAAGGCTGAAGATTTCCCAAATGATCTGTGCCATGTATCCACTGTTCTTTACTATTAGAAAGCCTGTAACATGTCTAGCCTGAATTTTCTTTACAACAGTTTAAACTCAGTGCTCATCACATACACCAAGGAATGCTGGACTGGGCAGTTCTATTCTTTTCCTCAGCCTCTTTGTTTCTGAAGAGTGTTACCATGCTTCAGTCTCTACTTCCTCAAGCTAAATGCCAGTTTATTCACTCTTACTTCATCAATCATTTTTTCACAAAGTGGGCCATATTTTTTACTTACTTTTTCCTCTTTCTCTTTCACCTCTTTTTCCTCATTTTCTCAACCTGGTACTTTGTCTGTCCCCAACCCTTTACCATAATCGGATTCTATCCTTAATTATTTTCTTCTCTATCAATTTCACAGCTTTGTAATAGGGCTTATTATGGAATTTGGGTTTCTTCTTAGTCCTACTTTTGCAAAGGATAATCTTAAAGTATTGAAACATTTTCTGCTTCCCTGGTTAGAGGACAAGCGTGGACTGATCACAACCTAGTCCGGAGCTCTTAAAGTGTAGCTTTGACTTAGCAGCAGTTTGTCTTCAGCACAACCCCAGGAAAGGCAGCCAACCTTGTCCTCTCTATGAGCTTCTTGAGGGCTTGCATGATTTTAAAAATTGTGAAAGTTTATTGCAAGGAATAGAAAAAAAACTAGCAAAAGTCTGAAAATTTGAGCTAGCTTTGGGTGAGTGTTAAGGTCTCCTAATCAGCTTGCATTTTTCTGGTCACAGGCAGTCTTTAACCACTCCAGAAATGGAAAGTTTATGTATAATTAGTGCTCACAGGCTTCAGGGCCATCATAAGGCTGAGGGATATAAAGACTAAAAAGGTTAGGTTGTTGTTAATTGTCAGTCTTAATATTGAAGAGTCCTTCTGAGCTGAGGGCTCACGGGCTGTTGGTTTTTCTGTTTGTGAAATTTTTAATGCCTTCATGCCAAAACAAGCCCAACACTGGGCCTAAACACATGCAATGTCTTCTGAACCTGTATGTTAGATCCTCCAGCCACAGCTACACGTTTGAAAGGCAAAGATAATGATTTTAAGTTAATCTAGGGATATTTATTTATGCAACTGATTGAAAGATAATAAATTCTTATTAAAAATTTCCTTTTATTCATTAAAAAAATACTGTGTGAGAAAACTCTGGATCGTGTATTTTTCTGTTCAATGCAAAGGACAGATTGTTGGCATTCCTGGGTAATTCTGATCTCTGGCAAAGGAGTGCTTCTTATCAAGTGCTCTGATGTACAAGTGCCTGAGGGCTTGTTCACATGGGAAAATTCAGTGGCATTATTCATCCCTCTCTACTGCGGGATATGAGTGCCCACATGGGAACTCCACAAGAGTATAATTATTTTGCTCTAGAAAAGTCCTAAGTACCTTAATATAATTTCTCCCCAGAAAGTTAGCTATGGCACAGGTAGTGCAATACACCAGAGAAAATGCATTTGGGGCCATCAGAAAGGACTGCTTTGTACAAAAGCAACTCTTCTTTCATGTGACCATGCGTTTCCCTATTTGAGATTGTTTTTTCAGATAGAGCACTCTGTCCCTACTTTAAGAAAATCTCATTCTACAGAGAAATTCAAAGAAACACCATGCATGTACTTATCCACACCCAATATTAATTACTGTATTAGTTTTGCTGCACTTGCATTTTTCTTCTGTAAATGCACCCTCACTCTGAGCACTGCACTCAGACAGATGCTATCTGAGCAGCCACTACAGCTCTTGGTAAGCAAACGATGTGCTGAATGCTGATGGAGAGGGCTAGCACTAGCTCATGAAAATAAGCAAGAACAGAATCCAGGTAATGTAAAACAATTTCACACTCGGAAGGATATTAACAGGATGTGCTGCACCTGCAACCATGAATTTCATTTGTACAGGAGAAAAGCAATCTCTGTGCTGTAAATGTAATACAATGGGTAGGAGGGGTGGGAGAGAAAGGAAAAAAATCCACAGTCTGCCTCATATACAGCATCCCTTAGCAGTGGCTGGGATGTGGCCTCTGCAGTTCTGCCTTTTGTGTCTACTCTGCCCTTTGCAGCTCTCGCTGAGTGACCCGAAGCAGGTGGTATAACTCGGAGAGAGATCTCAGAGTCCTCTGGTGTCCGGTAGTCTCCCCGTGCCCTGGCTGGGCACACTCCTGCACAGCCTTCTGCAGCTGCAGCTGCAGGGGGAGAGAAACCAAGGGTCTTCTGAGACTTGGGGAAAACCAGCGACGGAATATTTTGTCACAAATTACCTGAGAAAAGGAAAAAGAGCAGATTGTTTTCTTTCAGGAGCTATAACTAATGCCCTGCTGCTTCCCTAGGATTACAGCAAAACGTCATCTGAATCAAAAATGCCTCAAGCCATTCAAAGAGAAAGGTATAGAAAAGGAGCACCCACAAAAGCTACACTCTGGCTGAGGACCCTCCCTTCTTCTCAGACTGCTCTTGCACTTCTGCATAACCAGTGCTGAGGGTGAGCGGGTGGGAGCAGCAGGCCAAAGGCCCCAAAACTACACTCCCCCGCAGCCTCTCTGCTGCGCTAGTGCCTCCCACCAGCCCAAGTCTCAGAGTGAGACATATAAGAGACAGGGTGACACATAAGACACCTCATCCCAGGGCCAATAACCCCATGGACCCCCCTTTCCACTGCATCCATGTACAATGCCTGTAAAGTGAAGAACTGCAGCCACAGCCCCACCACTGCTTGAACATGGACAGCGCTGACTTTGCCCTTAGTGGAGGCAGTAATGCTAATCCCCTGCCCTCACTTCCCTCACTCTCCTACCTGGGGCATTGACATAACAGCTACACAGAAACACGACAATAAACACTAGTGAATATAAAGATGTGTTTGTGTGCCCCAGGACAGGATCTCTGAACAGGACTGGCACTTAGGTGGCCACATTTAAAAACCTGACTGCCTTCATCTTACAGTCTTCCTAGTACATACCATGCATTTTACAGTCAATGTGATTTTAAAAGAAATGGATGCATAAAGCATCCACTGTGTCTACTCACTTGCAAGTTGTTATTGGCTCTCTGTGCTCCACATTTTCTGATTTTCAGATTGCATTTTGAAAAGCAATCAAAAAAATTACAGTCTTCGTCTCCTGTGCAGTTCTGTTCAAGGATGTCCCTCATTTTGGGTTCAAAAAATGCCATATCCACATCAATGGCCACCACCTGTGGATCAAAACAGCCCATCAGAACTGGCACCGCACAGCTTGTGGGACAGGGCTGGGCAAGTGCTCTTTGCTGCTTGCTTTTGGAAATGCTGTGCTGAGAGCATCTGCCAGTGGGGAACTGGGATCACAATAAAAGGGCTTTATTTCGCTTAACTGAATTGCAGTAATCTTACAAACACTGCTTTTTAAACAAAACCAGTCAATGCTTACGACACCAGGAAAGGGAAAATTATTTGTGGACAATATGCATTCCTGGTGGCAACTGGACGGATTTGCCTTAAACTGAGAGTATCCAACTTGAAGATTGATCTGCTTGTTAGCTTATGCAGATGGCACCTCCACTTTTTAATTATATGATGGTGCAAAATTATCCACAGGCCAGACAGTATCATTTCAAATTCACCATTCAGACTAAACCCCCGACTTTATCACTGTGGAGAAGGACCTGCACCTGGTACAGCTCCTGCAAAGCTGCCATCGCATATAGTGGGCTCAGGTCTGTTCAGCTGTAGCAGGAGATCCCTGAGGTTGCTGAAAGTTGGGACTGGCTTTGCCCAGCCCCGTTTGCTATGGTTTGACTCATTTATTGTGCATGGTTCTTTGTTATGCTTGTCCAGAAATTGGTCCATAGCAGAGTCCAGACAGCAGTAGGTCTCAGCAGAAAAAGCAAGGACTGGAGGAGTCAATCAATTTGCTCGCCCTTACACAAAGCTTGCAAAATAGTGAATACGCAGCACAAAGAGGTATGCAGACCTGTTGTCCATGACAGGTTGGGAGCGAAGGCTGTAGTCTCAGTTTCTGCCAGTGTCACTCCACCCATGGATACTCCACTTAAAAAACCCACAGCAATGAACAGGGAAAGACAGGAAGCCAGAAATGGGATGGCAGCTGCTTGACATGGGACAGTGAGTGACCACAGCGAACACAGCCTGCCTTCCGCGCCGCGGCTGCAGCAATCAGTGTATGTTCAGAGCTGCACTTAACACTTGACAGTCAGGGTCAGAGACTCTCTCCTCTGCAGCAGCTGACACACATTTTCCTGGAGGGAAACATCTGGGACCTGGACAAAGCAGAGTTACTTGGCCTCAAACGATAGTCTCAGTTTTAAGATTTGACCTCCCAAATAACAGGGGAAGCTGAACTGTATGGCTGGAGCAGCAGCTCAATCAACTCCAGCAACTAAAGGTGTCTGCTCTGGTAGAAGGCAAAATAATCCTTCCACAGGCAAAAGAAAGAACACCGTCTAATCTTCATTTTATTCTACTCCTTTTTCCCCAGGGAAAAAATCTTAAAGAGATGAGGCATAGCTTAAAAACTCAGGTATTTTGAAGCTTTTTGGAGAGCCTGATAATGATGACGTAGCCTAAGGAACTGCACACGTTTGGACAGGCAAATTTATTTTCTTTTCTTCTTTACTTCCTTAAACTTTCTGCAGTTCTGCTGTTCACTTCTTTGGAGAAGAGACAGTGGAAATGGTGCAGGGTTTCCCCAGTCCTAGGGTCGCAGCACCAGCTCCCAGGTGGGGTTTCTGCCAGCACTGAGCACCTTTGACAATTTATCTGATCAATTGTTCTTCTAGGAAAACCAGCCATGGTTCCCAAACGTGTGGCTGCCAAAGGGCTCAGTGGTTTCACTGAAGTTCATCTATTACAAAAATGTGTGGGCATCCAGCCAGGCCCTGTGAAGACAGATCTAGGTGACATTCTACCTATAAACAGCTACTTTTTGGTGGCGTTTGTTAGGATTGTAAAGGATGGTGAGGGTATCTAAGGAAATGCAGGAAGGACCCAGCTTGGCTCCTGACCAGATTTAAAGCCGTTTAAGGTGCTGTAGCCTTTCTAGTTCTCTCAGGCATGATGATAAATAAGGACCTGTCCCAAGGCACTGTATATTCACCCAGACCTCCTTTCAACTCTGCCCCTTATGTAGCTCCATGGTGGCTTAAAATACCCCTGGCTGATCTACCAGGCAGTGATCTCCCTGCTCCGTGCTGCATGTGAAGGCTGGAGTGAGGGCTGGAGGCTTATCCCCACCATTTCAAAATAATCCTCAAAGTAAAACTGTTGCACTCCAGGCACATTTCTTTGGGCATTAGCAGTCTTGTTACTGGGATGAGGAATGGTGGTACTATTATGCGAGGTTGTTACTAGCCTATACAGGGCACAAGAAAGAAGCAAGTTAAAAGGTTGCTTAAAGCAAATATGAGGGACAAAAAAGAGGCTGCCTTGCCGTGTCCCCATTCTGGAATTGGTTGGTAAAACCACCTAGAGTTTCTGCTTCTCATTCTCTTTCTTTCCTCACCGATCAGCTCGCTCTGTCCCATCCCCCTTACTGCCCCGCAGCTTTCTGACTGTATGTCTCAGCCCAGCGGGGTGGGATTCAAACGGGAGATACCAAGGAGCAGTAAGTAATGTACGAGAATTGCCTTGAGGAATCCCTGCCATACCTCACTTTGACTAAATACTGGTACGCTTGTTTTAAGTTTCTTGCTGTAGCTGCTCAACCATTCCCTGTTCAGCTGCTGAATTGCACCTGAATAAACAATGGAAGGAAAGGGAAGGGTGAAGGGGAAGCACTCTAATTGCTCTTAATGGCTATATGTTTAGGCAATGGTTGTCTAGTACTCTGAAGATGCAAGTGTTATATTGAGACTCGGTGAGTACTGAAAATATCATTAAAGTCCCTGAAAATGCTCTATATTCACTCGGAGTGCAGAAACACCACTGACGTCACTGCAAATTGTGAGCCTGGTTCAAACACTTACCGCACCGTGCCTCCAGTCTGTACACACAATTCCCACCGAAACCAGTGGAATTTCTGTCCGAAGAATGAATGCAAGACACATGCAGCAATGTGATGCTGAGCTACATCACTACCTAGAAAACAGGCATAGCTGTTCAAGTCTAAGCTGAGTTACAATGAAAAGTCAAAGAGTAACAGTACCAGGGAGTTTCATGTCGCTGTCCCTAGATCACTTCCAGACCTGATAAGCTGAACACTAAGATGCAAAAGCGAGTGTTTGGATGTGGGGAGTTCCTCTTGTGTCAGGCAAGAGAATTCAGGCTTAGCTTTCAAATTCAAATTCAAAGACTTTTTCCTTTCAGCATCAGTACCAGAAACAGTTGCCATGACTCAAATTACAGCTTCATTTACAGCTTTTGGGATCTCCTTGCCTTCAGGAGGTATCCCTCACCACATCCAAGAGACCCTGTCCGTACCAGTGCCTTTGAGGAGGTGAAACAAATCAGAACCGAGCAAGCAGCTCTCAAAACAAGCAGCAGGATTTAGTGCTCTGAAACATGGCTACACGTACTACAAAGAGGAAAAGCAGTAGAGAATCTCGCCTATCACCTGTAAATGCATTGGTTTTGCAAAAACTTGGCCAAAAGCCACAAGGAGGGAAGTGTCTTTTTTATACAGCCACTTTCAGACTAGAATTTGACCTCAAATTGCTGCAATGCCACCCTAAAGACCCAACTTACCGTGAGATCATGCCTGATAGCAAAGTTTTCTGGTTTGATGTCACACAGGTGAAGTCGGTGAGAGAAATCATTATCAAAATGCTGCACCATGTCCAGAAAGCTGAGTGCAATGTCAACGATGGCTCTCACCCTGCTTCTGTGGCCAGCAAGGGAGGGACCGACCATGCTTTCCAAGGGAAAAAGAGTTTTGTGCCAGGCATGTCCAGCTGTGAGATACTCCACAGCATAAAAGTGTCCACAAGTGCCAATAATTCGTAGCACGTGTTTACTGAAGTCCTGCAGCAAACTGAAGTAGATATATTCTTCCTGCTGGAGCAAGGACCACATGCTGGCCACCTGTGCTTTCCAATGTGGCCCCTTCTTCCTTGTCCACAGGGGCCCCATGGTATTGTTAGACAGCTCTAGCCCCAGGACATTTTTGACCTCCAAGGCTACCATCAGCAGAAGCTCAGTTTCAGGAATATCCTGTGTTTCCATCTCCTCTAGCATAGTGAGATGCTGGTAGCTGGAGAACATTTCCTTTTTGGATTTCAGGATGATGGGCTGGCCTCTCCAGTCAGCCTGGATGACCTTCTTACCTCTGTCATAGTAAAGGCAGTGTTTGTACACCAGCTTCTGTGCCACACACAGATCTTCACAGAGGTCACCAGTCAGGGCTCCACTGCTGTAGTCAAGACACTGGAGTGAAAGAGCAGAATATTCATAGCAGGACCATACGTACCACTTAGAAAAAAGGCAAAGAATCAGCAACAGTCCTAAGCTTGAGAGGCTTGTGGCAGTTGTGGTACCACAAGCACACACCTTCTACAGCTGTTGGATGATTCAATGGTTTTTCAGAAGTCTCTAGAGACTTCTTACTAGTAGGAGGTTTGCTTCAAAACAGGGATTCTTGGAATAGTGAAAGACAGGCTTCTGAGGGGCAAAAAAAATGGACTAGATGACCTGCTACTCTTAAGTTTCTGCCCTATATGAATTCAGTGAGACAAGCTTTGAACACACTTGGCTGCGTTACATGAGCTTCTGGGCTGCAACACTTTAAGGCACAGGAGACAACTTCCACTGCAATGCAAGACTTCTCAGGAAGGTTCAACACAGCATAACTGAGAGAACTCCACTTAAACTACAGGAAAATCCCTGGGTAACTGGATTGCTGGGAGATCCTGCAGCCCTGCATGTTTCAACCATGCCCTGAACGAAGCTCTAAGAACCTACTTCTGCACTACCAGGAATCACAGAGGTTGCACTCAATGCCTCTTGAACCAAGAACTGTCAGAGTTTTTAATACGTAAATGCTGTAGGACAAAATTACTTTTTCAGGTTTCATATGTAATTATCAGAAGTGACATTTTAATATGAATTGCTTAAATGCATTTTTTTTTAATTGGAAAAAAAATCAGCTGGTGGAAACATGGGAACTGCTGCTTGATAGTTAAGTGGTCCCTGCAAATTCTTACAAGAACTGCAAGGATTCCCTCACCATCCCTTCCTTCAACCCATAATTGTTTCCATACCATAATTTCCAGAAGTGTAGGCAGTTGATATACTCCTATGGGCATTCAGAAGTGCAGCTGCAGGGACCGCTTTGGGCGAATCAGTAGAGGGGATGCTCAGAGGTTTCCAGTGAAAGGGGAATAAACTGTGGTGGTGGAGAAAGCCAAACATCTGGGAGGCGGCGTGACAGTGTCAGCCTTCTTCATTGCTTTCTGGCATTTGAACCCTTATTTAAACAAGTTGGCAGCTCCCCCTGCATGTGGAGTACTTGCAATGGCCGCATGACCCCCACCTCATTTGTGACTTGCTGTTACACACATAAGAAACATGATGATAAAGTGATGTGTTTTCTTAGGACAATCTCTAAGGTGTGCACCAGAAGAATATGTTCTGATGCCAGGCAATGTTCAGAGTCAAGCCTTAAACAACACACTGGGGAATGGGTGCAGGATTAAGTCCAAAATCCAGGAACGGTGATAAATTAACTAAAACAACTCTCTGAGGCCAGTTCAGACAGGCATAAAATTTATTTATACTCTGATGTTCTCACAGCCCAAATGAGAACATTGAGTACCACCAAGGAGAGTCAGGTAGGCAAACTCTGGCATGAATGTCCTGACCCTGAGTCCAGGGGGATGTACATGTGTGAAACACACACATCTGCATCCACATCCACATTAGGATGGTCAAGCAGACTCAGTGGGCTGTCTGCAGACTTCGGAACTGCAGATCAATGTTCTTGCTTTTGAAAATCTACTCCTATGAATGTAATATAAATTTATTTCCCCCTTTTAAGTAGGAAATGTAATTTTCTTACAGAAGTAGTTTAGCAGTTCTTACCATCTGGAACTCTAAGAAATTTTAGAGAGAAGATTACAAACAGAAGGAATTTTGGGAGTCTTTCGAGTGTAAGTATAACCACATTTAAAATCATTGTTCTCCTGTGAAGAGGACCACAACCTAACACTTCTTCTGCTACAGTAAGAGAATACAGGATTTAGTCCTGTAATTAGGTCCACATGGGTGAACACTTGCCGCTGTGGACAATTTTACTGTTCACTCTTAGAGGGTCTATATGCATGGACCTCTTGCATCTAGAAGAAGACATGCCCACAAGACCTGCAGTCAGACATGTGAACATGCAGCTTATTTTCTTGTGTTGCCATGACATCATTCTTAATGGCACTAATGAGAAAAAGTAGTTGTGGAAAAAACGGTCTCACATTTCCCAGACATAGGACATGAGTCATTTCTGAACCTGGTTGCTGTTTAGGACTTGTCTGCTGTTCCAGTTGAACCCATAAATCTTTGATTATTAACCTAGTATCTGACAAACAGTCTCTGAATCGGATTCTTACACAGAACTTGTGCAGTGTTTTGCAAACTGGGATCTGTGAAAGGAGTTCCTGGTCTCACTGCGATGAAATATGGATCAGCCTTCCAGAAGTAAGATTCTCTGCTGGTCACCAAATGCAAGTAAGGATTTCAGAAAGGATTCCTCAAATAAGCAATCAAGTTTGAACAATTCTCAAGGTGTCTCTCTACTCACAGAACATAGTGAGTTGTGAGTGGCATTAAAAATCTTGTTTCCTGTTCATCATAACCTAGAAGGTCAGCAAAGCCAGACTGCACCTTCACATCCTCGCTACCCACCCCTCATTACTCCAACTTCTAGTAGTTTATGTTTTGCCATAAGCATAGTGCACTAGGTAAGCTTAGCTCCCCAGCCCTCTCACTATAATCCTTCCTTTTCCAGTCCCTGGATATTTTTGTGGTTTTATTCCCTCCCTGTTTCTCCTCTCCATTTTCCCCTCTGCCAAACTTAGAAGCACAGACTTCAGAACTGAATGTTGTTGTTCAGTGCCGCAAAGACAGCCAACAGCCCTTCCCTAATTCACCTTTTTGGGGACTTTCGGAGATTATGTCAGCCTTTCAGGCACAGTCTGCACTGGTAGTTCATGTTGAAGCAATTATTTGACCCTTTCGTCCTTTCAAAGTCATACAGTTTTACAAGACAGTCTTCTATCCTGTTGGCATGGCTTGTACACTTGTGCTCCCCAGTGTCCTAGCTTACATTTTACGGGAATAAAACACATTTTGGTAGACTGAAAACATTTAACCAGGTGATTCACATTACCCTGCACTGAAAAGATGGTCTGTTTATTATTTACCAACCCAGGAACCTTTGCACTAACTGCAAAGTTTACCATACAAGATTTTATATCATCATGATGACTGCTGATATAAAGAAGAATCAATTCCCCAAATAAATCTTCCAGAAATGGTCCTCGACACTGCCATCCCTGTCTTAATCACTGCATTTTGAGATCTGTCAATGAGACAGTTTTAAATCTACCTAACGAGCGCCTTTTGAATGCCACTCAGTGCCAGATTTTTTAAACTAAAATATGAAAGTGATACTAAGCCAAAAGCCTTATAGAAATGCAGCTATACTACACAAAAGTGCAAACACAAGCATGGTTTGGACTCGCTCATCTGTTTTTGCTTGAAATTTCCTACATAATTTTTAATATCCTTAGCACACTTATCAAGATAAGTTAAAAAATCTGTCTTTAAATTCATGTAAAAGTTTAAATTAATGTAAACCCCACTAAGGATTTATATAAATTTAAATAACTTTTACTGCACCACCATCACTTCTGTGTGGATCAGGTCTGAGACTGAGTCCTGACTTGTTATCAAGTACTTCTCCTGAGTAAATGAAATACTGAGCAAGATTTTGGAAGGCATCAAAATGAATTGATTTCTCCAGAGAAAACAGAAATTGATTGCTATGATTTAGTGTGTTCAGTGTAAATGAAGGTGACACCAGCGTTAGAAAAGAGTAAGTGGTTTTTTGGAAGTTAAAGTTGCTCTCTGCAAAACGCCCAGTGCTACTTCAGCCTTCCCAGAGCGGTACACATCTGCACAGATGTACATTTTACTCGGAAGAAGGAAAGAAACCTTCAGAAATACTACTCGCAAGGGTATATACAATCATAAAATTTTCACCCACTTACTTAAAATAGCTCATCTTATCTCCTGCTGAAAATATGACCGATGACTAGTAAAACAGTTTTTCTTGGAAGTTGAATTTCACTTAATAAAAGTCGTGAGACTCAAGCTATCAGATGGTTTTGTAGATCATTTGCACTATCTGTAACTGTGACATCCATGCTGTGCTCAGAAGGTGTATAAAGACTTATTTCAGGGCTGATGAAGGTGAGCTTATTTTCTAATCATTCCACCAGAAGGACGATCCCTTTCTAACATCGTCTGCGAAAACTGTCGCTTACAAACCGTAAGGATACTGTTGAAGACTCACCTGTGGAAACAGATGAGCACAGCAATCTCAGTGTCTCTTCCTCTGGAAGGAGGGTCTGAAACTGAGCTATCACACGGTGATAGAGACAAATTCCCAAGCTTGGGCCTGAAATTTGATCCCTGCCAGGGCTTTTGAAGTCATGCCTAATGCTCTCCAAACTGAAGAACAGCAACAAGTCCATCTGTTTACTGGCGAGTGTGATGGCAAGGGCCTGGACCTCCCTGAGCTTGGCTGCTCCTTGCACCTCCACACCTCCGCGCTCTTCCCAGCCACGGAAGGGGCGGGCAGGATTCATTCTTTCAGCTGCAGTCCCCGGATCAGCTCTACTTCAAGCTGACTGCTGGGGTAAAGAAACTGCATCTCAATGCCACAGGCTGGTGGGAGCACTGCCTATAGTTTCTTTTATGATACAGAATTTAGGGAAAATCTGTGATTACGAGATTGCTTGCTGCAGTAATTGATTATTTAATTTCCATCAGGATTCCTCCATTCCTACCTTACCATTGGCACTACAAATACCTTAATTAAGAAGCAAAATTAAACTCAAATCATTAACTCAAGATGCTCCTCCTCTCAAAGTGTTTCCTAGAAAATTCTGTTTATTATTTTCCTTTTAAAGGGAGATTGTAATGAATATTCTCAAATCCTTTCTTGAATTTTGAATAACCACATCTTAAATGCCAGCTCCCGCCAGATGTACAGGAGGCGTTACAAGCTGCGTGGCATTTCTGAAAGACGACTTTTGTCCAAACATCTTTTCGACTAAAAAAAAAAAACAACCCAACCCTAAACCAAACAAGACAAAACCCGGAGGGAGGCTCCCACCCCCCAGCCCCCGGCTTCGCAGCGTGCGGGCTGCCCAGCTGCCCTTTCCAAAGCGCCCGGGAAGCGCCCACCCGGCCCGCTGCCTGCACCTGCCCTCGCCCCGGGGAGGCAGGCGGGCAGCCGCCCTCCCTCCCTCC